GAGTATCAAATGTCATGATTAATATTGTCAAAAGCAGGACATAGGTCAAGGAGAATTGGGACATGTAGAAAACTGGAATCATCTTCTAAAAGAAGATCATTAGTAACTTTAACAAGGGCGGCTCCTATGCTCTGTAATTTTCTAAAACCAGACTGGAAGGGTTTGAAGTGGTTATTTGCAATGAGGAGGTGATTCTTAAATTGTAACATTATAAAATCTTTGCAAAAAAGACAAGTTAGCTATAGGACGAAAAATGTTCAGGAAACTGAAACAAAATGGGAGGAATGTAATCTAGTAGACAGGTGGTGGGCTTCATACGCAACGCTGATTTACTGTACTAAGGCATACAGTGTCAAGGTGAGAGGAACAAGAAAGAAAAGGATGAGCAAAAACAGGCATACAATGAGTTTAGTATGAATGTGATGATGGATATTGTCGATCTTGGTTGTAAAAAAACTGTTGCAAAGATGGGATGAGGCAGTTAGATTTTAGCAGTTGATTGAGGTGCAGAGAAGGTATTTAGGATTGTTTCAGTTATTCTCAACAATATGGTAGAAAGCCAAATTTCCCATTGGCCTTTACCAATCATGGCCTCCTAATAATCCCCATCTATGAATTGGCTTCATTACTCTGCTCCCCTCCCCACTGATAGCTAATGTGTGGTGAGCGTTCTGGCGCACTATGGCTGTCGTTGCATCATCCAGGTGGGGCTGCACATGGGTGGTGATGGAGGGGATCCTCATTACCTGAGTGAGTGGAGTGCCCAGAAAAGTGCTATATAAGTGTAAGCAATTATCAATTATTATTATTAAGTAACTGGATCTACAGTAGCAGACGCCATTGGATCTTTGTATTCAGTCATGCTTTGCTCCAAGACTGTTGATGTACATTTAAGCCAGAAAGACACCACTTACAGTATGTTCTAGTTTTTGGGAGACGGTCTTCATTAAACACAAGTGGTCAGTGTGCCAATCGAGTTTTAAGAGGACCCAAGGTATCAAGAGAAGTTAAAAGAGACCAATTAAACATTTGTACCTTGTCAACCACATTATCAGAGATAGGAAAGCAAGACAGTGAAGGGAGAGCAGAATCAGCAAACATATTCTGGTCAGCTGGATCAGTTGAGAACATTTACAGATTGTAAAGTTAAAGAGTGTGAGACCAGATGAAAGAGAACAGCCAAGTGATCAAAAACCCTTAGTTTAAGATATGTGTGAAACAAATTAGTCATTTACAGTGACCGAGTCCAAGATGTGACCTTTTTTTGCTAGATTGAGAACAAGCTCTCTGAAACCAAAGCATTCCAACAAAGTTAGAAAATCCTCAGCTAAATAGGAATCTGTGAATCAGTGTGGATATTAAAATCACCCAGGATAAGAATCTTATTAAATCTAAAACACAGCACAGATAGTATATTGGCAAACTCAATGAAAAAAGAATCATTATGCTTGTATGGATATCTGTAAACCATAACAATGATAGCAGCCTGGAATAAGAGACATTTAAAACAAGACACACAGAAGAAAAATACAAGAAAGAAAAGGTACACCTTGTTTGTGATGCAAAGTTGCCTTTTTACCTTTTTACACCTTGTTTGTGATGCAAAGTTGTACCACTAGACAAAATACTACAGTATGTATCATGAATTTATTTTTGTAACCCTTATACAAAGGTCAGGTACAGTGCCTTGCGAAAGTATTCGGCCCCCTTGAACTTTTCAACCTTTTGCCACATTTCAGGCTTCAAACATAAAGATATAAATTTTTTATTTTATGTG